ATGTATACTCCACAGAACCGACTAAGAAGGGCATGTTCAGCCCATTTGCCGACAGTCGCCCTCTCAGAAAGTGCACTTCCCTTTAACAGCAGCATGATTTAACCTCAGTAGCTTATGTAATCTGTTCATGTTTGTTAAATGTTTGCTGATATTCTCAAAATCCTACAAACTCATTGCAGTGTTGTTATATGGAATAGAACATTTTTTAAAAAATGTTTAACTAGGTCTAACAGGTGGCATGGTGGTTAAGGCGCTGGATCCCACATGGCCAACTCCAAGGTTTGAAAATCACACTGGGTGTGTGTGCATGTGTGCATGCCCAAAATCTCGAGAGGAGAATAGAGGATAAGGGATCGTGACATAGCCATCCCCCTGGAGAGTGACTTCTCACTTTCCCTCTCTCTGTCCCTTTCTGGTCAATGCAAAAATCTTTAAAAATCTTTTAAAAATTTTTTAAAATGTTTAATTATATTTGTCACTTTTTTTCCTAAGTTTATTTATTTTCTAACATAAGTAAAAGAGAGACATCCCTAACAGGGTCTTCACATTGTAATTGACCCCCTGCCTCAGCCATCCTGAAGCACGGGCTCACACACACGTGCTCAGTGTGTATAAACAGGCCTTAAGAGATGAACTTAGGACCTTCCGATGTGGGTCTAGCTGTGTTACCATGGTGCCACCATCGGGCCCATCTTTTTTTTTTTTTTAAAGAATTATTTATTTATTGTATTTTATTTGTTGTTATTAATTATTTTTTAATTTGACCAGAGAGGACAGAAAGAGTGAAAGGAAAATTGAGAATGCAAGCCACCAGGTCCAGGACTTGAACCACAGTCGACCATGTAGGATAGGAGTCCAGCACCTTAACCATCAAGCCACCTGCTGGCCACTGGCCCATCTTTTTTTAACAGTAAACTCTATTAGTCTACTCATCTTCATTCTCTACCCTTTCCTTAGAATTTCTCATATGCATCATTTTAAAAATCCTGTCTCCTAGTTAATGATTTCATCTTTACATTTTTATCTATATTCTGTGACTTCCACAACTAATTAACTTTTTATAGTATGTGACAATGTATTAAAAACAGCCACACAAAAAAAGAGCTCAACATTATCAGAGGTGTCAGAGATAGCTTTTTTTATTACATGTTGTAATTTTACTGATATGGAAATATATTAAATTTTCCTTTAGTTCACTTCCTGTCTTTTTTCTTTTTCTTCTTTTTTTTTTTTATTTTTGGACCCCAACCCCCATGTCTCATCTAACTTTGTCATCTCCCAATGTGTCTTATGAGGCCCTCAACAGGCCACTTGCTCCCTGGCAACTAAACCCAGTCACCCAGCCCTCCTTGTCACTGATTCCTAGTTCCTCTTTTTTTCTTTCATCCCTTTTTTTTAAAAAAAATTATTTATGACCATTATTTTTTTTAATTTGCTATGGGGCACGTGCACTCACCAGAGAAAAACAGAGAAGAGAGAAGAGAGAGAGAGAGAGAGAGAGAGCAAGCCACCAGATCCAAGACTCAAACTGTAGTCAGCTATGTGGGAGTTCAGCACCTTAATTACCACACCCTCTGCAGGCCCCCATCTTTTTTTTCTTTATTGTGATCATATAAAATTTCTCATTTAAAATTTTTTTAATTGCCTGAGGGTGCATTTATTCACCATAGAGAGAAGAGGGTGGCGCTGAATGGGGCTGCGAATATGCTTTCTGGAGGCGAAGTGGAGTAAAGTACCCTCCCCAATGGAATGTCCCCCTATGGTTCTTTCTCTTCCTTTTCTCCATCCTTTCTCCATCAGGATTTTGGGCATATGCACATACTCACCTGGCATGTTTTTCAAACTTCTGGGACTAGGATTCAAACTATAGTTGGCTGCTCAGGATCCAGTTCCCTTAACCACCAGGCTACAAGGCTGGCCTTTAAACTTTTGGTTTTGTTTGGTTGGTTGGTGGTTTTTTTTAGGTTTTTGTTACAGGACACATGCACTGGCCGGAGAGAGACAGAGACAGAGAAAGGGAAATTAAGAAACTACCCCCTAAGAGGAGATGGCCACACTGCTATCCCTTCTTCATTCTCCTCTCAGGATTCTGTGTATGCATGCACATCCGCCCAAGGTGATTTTCAAGCCACTCGGTCTGGGACTCAAAGACTTGGTTCACCATGTAGAAGTCCAGCACCATAACCATCACCACTTCCTACTGGCCCCAAACTTTTTTTTTTTTTAACCAGAGGTCACGTGCACTTGCCAAAGAGAGAGAAGAGAGAAAGCACCCCTCCCCCCATGGGGCATGATCATACCACAATCTCTTCTCTCATCTCTCTTTCCTTTCAGGATTTTGGCTGCACACGCATACCCGGTGCCCTTGGTCTGGGACACAAACTACAAATTCAGTCATGTGGGATCTAGCCACCTTAACACCAGGCCATGGACCGGCCCTTAAACTATTTTTAAGTGTACAGTTTTGTAGCATTAATTCCATTTACGGTGTTGTGCAACCATCACCAGTATTTCCAAAACATTTTCACTACCCAAAGACACCCTACAGTCATTCAGCAACCACTCCCCATCATGTCTTCTTCTCCCCACTAGTAACTGCCAGTCTTTCTGCCTCTATGAATTTGCTGAATCTTTCTCTTTTTTTGGAGAAGTTTTGTTTTGTTTGGTTTGGTTTGGTTTGGTTTTTGTTTTTTGCTATAGGGTGCGTGTGCTTGCCAGCCAGACAGAGAGAGACAGAGAGACAGAAAGCGAGAAATCACCCCCCAGGGGGGATCGCCACGCCGCAATCCCTTCTTCTCCGTTCTCCTCTCGGGATCTTGGGCACGCACACACACGTGCCCGGTGTGAGTTTTAAGCCACCAGGTCTGAGACTCGAACCGCGGTCGACTATGTGGGAGTCCAGCAACATAACCATTACGCTAACTGCTGGTCCCTGAATTTGCTGAATCTTTCTTATGTGGGGCCACAGTAACTGTACATGACTCATTATGTAAATTATCTCTTTATACCATATGGTATTTTGATCTTATCTGCAGTGTGTACTGTAGTTATCTATTGCTCTGTAAGAAATTACTGAAAAACTTAGTGTCTTTTTTAATTGACTCATACATACTTACGGAGTACAGTATGATTTTTCAATACATGAATACAATGTGTAATGATCAAATTACAGTAATTAGAGCATTTATCATCTCAAACATTTATCATTTCTTTGTGTTGGGAACACTAAAAATCCTTCTACTTATTTTGAAATACAGAGCAATTTTTTTTAACTGTTGGGACCCCACTATGCTATACAACACTAGAACTTGTTCCTTTCATTGGACCATAATTTTCAGTGTGTTAACCTACATCTCCTTTCCCTCCTTCCCCACCTTTCCCTGTCTCTAGTAACTACTATTTTATTCTCCACTTCTATGAACTCAACTTTTTTAGTTTCTATGTGTTAGTGAAAACATACGATTTTTCTCTTTCTGTGCCTGGCGTGTTTCACTTAACATAATGTCCTCTAGCTTAGCCGTGTTGCTGCAGATGACAGGATTTCATTTTTTATTGCTGAGTAGTATAAAAACTTAGTGTCTTTAAACCACAGTAGGCCTGTGTTATTTCTCACAGTTTTTGTGGTATAGCGTCCAACTAGGGCACAACGGGGATGAAATGTCTACTCCACGGTGACTGGAACATTTACTGGAAGACCACAAAGCTGAGGCTGGAAGTGTTCGGAGCCTTGTTCCCTCCCCTCTCTGCCACAATGGGGTGGCTGCCTAGGGGCCTTTCTGAATTGTCAACTGGAAAACCCATGCATGGTTTCTCATGTAGCCTGGGCTTCCACTCCAGGATGGCTAGGTTCCAAAGACAAGCGTCCAAAGAGAAAGGAGGTGAGAAAGATAGGGCCAACCAGGTGAACCCATATTACATTCAATGAGCTAACCTCAGAAGTCAGCCAGAGGGGAGGTGGAGTAGATCCTCTCCCTCAATGGGGGGATCCCACCACAGTCCTTTCTCCTCCATTTCTCTATCCTGTCAGGACTTGGGGCATTCACACAGACTTTATCTGCATTCTGTTGGGTGAGACAATTACAAAAGCCCACCAGGTTCGAGGGAGAACATAGACCCCCTCTCCATGGAGGCAGGTCAGGAGCATACGGGGAGAGGAGATGGTGAGGGAAGACCTGGTGTGGCCAGCTGGAAACAGCCCACCGCAGTACGTGCTCAGCACAGTCCCTGCTTCAGCCCCTAGTAGAACTTCTCTAAAATTAATTTATTTATCTTAATTGGTCGCTAATTAGTCATGGATATAAGAATCCTACTCTCTGATTACGGAATTAAGATTTACACATTGAAAGGAAGATGCAAAAATGAGATGATATAGCTGTTTTAGACAATACAAGCATATCTCTTGAAAACAAGATAATTACTACTACGTGTCTGTTAATGAAGCTTGTCTAATTAATAGCATGAATGCTGTTTAGAAAATGTGTCCTGGTCAAGGAAACATTTTAATATGAGTCACATTGTTTCTGAACACCGTGTTTGCAGTTTGGGCGTGAGAGCATTTTTCTAAGTTCCTGATTGACTTGAAATATTGAATTTTACTGTTGCCTTCTGTTCCTGACATACATCTAGGGCAGATAGTTTGTGAAGTGTCTATATATTGCATTACTTCTCTAGCCAAACGAACCTCTCCAAAGCTGCAATTTCCTCATCTGAACTGCGGGACTGATGGTATCTACCTCACAGAGCTGCCGTAGGATTATTTGCTCATATATGTAAAGTGCTTGGCACACAGTAAGCTCAGAGAAGAGCGTTGGACACAGGAAGTACCTGGGAGCGTTATGCTTCTGTAGGTGTAAAGAGTCCTAGCACCACAGAACACAATTCCAGAAAGGCAGTTGTAGGATAAAGCAGCATAATTAGTGAAAACATTTTATTGCACTCTTTCATTTAGGAAGAACATTATCTGATTGCTTCTTAATTTGATAACTGTTTGTTTTTCCTAGTTTGAAAAAGAAAAACAGCATGATATTCGATCATTCTTTTTACCAAAACCTATAAAAAGGCAGTTGGTGACCTCCTGTGATGAATCAAGAACATTCCAAGAAAAAAATACTCTAATGGCATCAGACCCTAGAAAAATATCTGCAAGCGATGTTGCTTATGAAAGTGATTTTGAACCTGAAGTTAAAAGACTGAAATTGGTTACCACAGATGACCCTTGCAATCCCCTGGAAGAGAAGCTGTCCTGTCCCAGGCAAAGCAAGGCTCCACTCACAGATGGTGTCTATGAGGCCAGCTCCCAGCCAGACGCTCCAGCCCTTCCTGGAAAGGGCTGGCAGTGTGGTTTCTGCACCTATCTCAATCATTCAATGTTACCTTGTTGTGAAATGTGTGAGAATCCTCGAGTCAGTGCTGGTGAGTCCACAGAAGGGGTCTGTGGGGAGGGCCGGCAGTGGTGTCTTTGTGACCTGTGCTTTAGACTGCTGTCAGCACGGGTTAGTGCGACTCCGCACTGACTTCAGCTTTTAAGGTGGAGTAGGGACTTCACAGAGTGAAGACTGAATTTATCCCCTGTGGAATGTGAAAAGCTCCCGGTTCTGTCAAGAATGTATATCCCCAAGCGTCTGTGATATGGCATTAATTTGGCACAAATGGACATTTCTCATTAATGTCAGCAGGATATGAATTCAGTGGGCAGGAAGAGAAGCTCTGTTGCTATGGTAGCAAATATGCCTTACAGTCATAGACCTGCTGTTTTCTTTCCACTGTAGATAATACTTGTTTTTAAGGAAATTATAGATTATTTTTATGTTTAAGTAGCAAAGTAATCCAGTATCACTTCTTTGCCAAGTCAGTGTACATTGTACTGTGTTTTGCATGACAAATTACCAAAATTCATCCATACATCTTTTTTAAGAACCACTTTGATGTCTCTTTTGTGTTGGTTTTTTTTTTAATTTTTGCTATAGGGTGTGGCATACATTCACTAGAGATGGTGTGAGAGGGGAAGTGAGAAAGCACCCTCACACCGCAATTCCTTCTCCTCCATTTTCCTCTTGAGATTTTTGGCACATGTGCATGCATGCCTGCTTGATTTCCAAGCTGCCGTGTCTAGGACTCGAACCAGGGTCAATGATGTGGGAGTTTAGTGCCTTTGCCACCACATCACTTGCTAGCTCCCTTCAGTATGTTTTTTATAGTATAGTATGCTGTTTTCTAATGTTTTGATTTCTAAAATAGTTATTAATGCCCATGGCTGTCATAAAATAAAGATCATTAATGTTCTTTTTGTTTGCTATTTAGAGAGCACTGTTATAGTCATGAAAAGCACTGATAGTTTTAGACACTGGAAGTACTTATTTTATCAGTTGTAGTAACTGTACACATCTAGCTTTCCATTATACATTAATTCTTCTGAATATTGACATTGACAGAGACTTAGCTAAGATAGAAACTCGGATGTTGTAATTCCTCTCTGTCTGGCTTGCACCCTCTCCTCTCTGCCTAGTTTTGATCTGAAAGAAAATATAGTCGATGGTTGAGTCTTTCTTCTTTCACTTCTGGGGGTTTCTACCAGAATTAACAATTTGCCATCTGGGTGGTTATATTTGTCATGTGGGCACCTGTTGTCTATGAACTAAATTGGGATCACAGGCTTATTCCATACAGTATCCCTGCCACAATTAGCATCATCCCATGCAATTTCCACCTGCTACAGCAATAAAAATGTATTTCATGACTATAAAATAATGTCAGTTTACATTAAGTGTGTATCACACTAAGTGCTATAACAACAGAAATCATTGTTTCATGTGGGTTTTATACTTCTGATTTTTCCTCTGTGATACCAAGAGCAACATAAAAATTCCTAGGCCCATGATTTAATAAGGAATATTTCAAGCAACTTACAACGAAAAAGAAAAAAAAACTAATTTTTGTGAATATGAAAGTCTGATTAGAGAGAAATAAATATTCTAAATAACAGTGATTATGCTGTATATAAAAGTTATAATTATTAGATGTATATTACTACAGTTTGATATAAAAGTTTCCAACCTTGATTTGGATGTACCTTCACAAGTATTGAAAATCAGAATTACCTGATTCATCTAGTTTTTAAATTATGTCTTCCATATACAATTTTCAGTTAAGGATGGACTCTGGAACATTAAAGGAACAATATGAGAATATGACATTCTATAGTTTGCTATTGCAGTCTCTAATGCATTAGCGAAAATTTGGTAGAGTATACACTGAATGCTGATATTTGTCCTTTATTATAGTACTTTTCTTATGCTCTGTTTCTAACATTTATAGTTCATATTAAACATCTGTCTCATGTCAGATTTGTCAAAGGCCTTTCCAAAAGCCCATGGAAAAATGGAATTAAAGTACAAGTTTTTTTGGTATAAAAAAGTTTGAAATCCATGGGTATTTTCTTCATAATACACATTTCTCATGCACTTTTTGAAGACCACATGTATCTTTCACTAGAACTCTAGACTGGATAGATCTATTGGCCTATGTAGCATCTCCATCTAGCTGCCTAATGGATATCTCAAAGTTAATGTGTCCAAAGTAGTTTTCTCCCCCCCCCTTTTTTTTTTTTTTTTTTTGCTGTAGGGCGCATGCGCTGGCCAGAGAGACAGAGACAAAGCGAGAATTCACCCCCTCAGGAAAGATGGCCACATTGCAATCCCTTCTTCTCTATTCTCCTCTCGGGATCTTGGGCACATATGCACACATGCCCAGCGTGAGTTTAAGCCACTGGGTTCAGGACTTTAACTGTGGTCGACTACATGGGAGTCCAGTGACATAGCCATTACACTAAGTGCTGGTCCCCCCAAAGTAGAATTCTTGATTCATTACTGCTGCCATTTACCACACCCGGATCTTCTGCCTAGTCTTCATACATCATGCTAAAAACGTAGGCAGTATCCTAGATTTCTTCCCCTCTCACACTCGCTTCATCAAGTAACCTAATAAATCATGATTCCAACTACTGTCTCTGTATCGCTACCAACCTGCACAAAAGCCACCGTCAGCTTTCTCTTGGGCCTCAGTGGCTCCACATTAGTCTTCCCCATTGTGATCCTTCTGTGCTCAGCAGCCATGGTGATCCTTGAAAACCTGAAGTCATTCTTATTCCTTTGCCTAAATCTCTATAATGGCCTCCAGTAGCATTTAGACTCTAATTTAAGAATATAAGCCCCAAGGCCAGGCTTCCTAACCTCATGAATACCTCTTAACTCAAGAGGGATTCTTCTGAGAGCTTGCTCTGACAACTTTTGCTATCAAGTGTGTGCTTGCAACACCCTTGCTCACAAAATTTGTTTGTGGGGAACCAGCAGTTAGCGTAATGGCTATGTCGCTGGACTCCCACATAGTCGACCGCAGTTCGCATCCTGGACCCGGTGGCTTAAAACTCACACCGGGCACGCACGGGCACGTGTGCGTGCGTGCCCAAGATCCCGAGAGGAGAATGGAAGAGAAGGGATTGTGGCGTGATTTCTCGCTTTCTGTCTCTGTGTCTCTCTCTGTCTGTCTGGCAAGCGCATGCGCCCTATAGCGAAAACCTCTCCAAAAAAAAAAAAAAAACAACCTTGTTTGTGTTCTCTTTATCTGAATATACACTATTTGCTTATTGTATTGTTGATCTCTGCCCCTTAGAGTGACATCTCTGGAAACCGGGACTTATCTTTCTCCTCTCTGTCCTTCCAGCACTTGGAGTAGTACTGAGAGTGCGGTAGGCTCCCGATAAGTGTTTTGAAAGAATGAACATTATTAATTCTGTTCTTTTTTTCTAAGACCTCACTGTGACATCTTTCTTTACTTTTAAGTGTAAATTATTTGTTTGATTTTAATAATTCTACAAATAGATAACCTCAACCATATCCAGAATAAAAACAGAAATGAGAAGGATGACTCTGAGAAAGACACTTCCCAAAATGCTCAAACTAGCTCAGCTTGTGAGAAACAAGTCCTTGCACAGTCAGAACCTGACCCGTTGGCCGAGAGCGAGAAAGAAACACCAGAAATTGAGAGGGAAGATGGACTTACACCCCAGCCAAGTAATGGTAAGTCTTCTTTCCATTTCCAGAATCCAAATAATAACCATATACTTAAACATATCTTATAGTATTAGATTTGCAATTACTACCTCGTTCCAGGTTCTTTTTATTCTTTTATATTAAAACTACCAACCATTTGTAACCGCGCACTTAACCACCAGATGGCTGGGAGAGCTGAGCGTGTCTGCCTGCTGGCAGTCAGCCACCACACAGAGAGCAACACCAATAAATAGCTACAAGTGCCGCCACCAGGCCTCGTGCCCAGCCTCAGCCAAGTCTTGCCCATTCACTCGGTGAGGGTGTTGCTTTGCTATCTGGGAAGTGTTTTGAACACATAGGAAGATTGACAGATTATTAACTGGTACTTAATAAATCATTAACCCTTTACACGTGAGTGCTTTTAAATAGCTGTGCTTAATAAGCATATTTTAAGATATTTTTTAAAGAAAATATCTTTAAGGAACATAGCTTCAAGGCTACGTGAATCATGATTGCATTCGGAGCCAACCATGTAGCATTTCAGATTTATTTACTTTTTGGTTGATTCCATTCATTATTTATAGCTGTGATGCTTAGCCAGTACCAGTCTGTGTGTCGCACATCACTCTTTTATGTGCCAGCTGGCAAAAGACTGTGAGCACTTTGGGGCTATTATCCTTGTTACTCCTTTAGTGACCATGGTAACACACAGATTGATAGACTTATTAAAAGAAACCCAAATTGCTGGAACGAGACTGTTGAGATTTTTCTTCTAAGTTGGTTACTATTCAACTCTGATATGATTTGGAATGAGATTCATAGTTTTAAAATGAAATGTTCATTTAAGAATTTCTGAGCTCAACACATTCTCCTTTCTTTTCCTGACAGCCTTCCTTCTCTCTAAATGCTCAGTCTTCCCAGAGAATACCTTGGAATGGATCCTGTTTAGATCTGTTAATCTTAACAGCCTTTAAGTAGACAGTAGAGACAGGTGAGGGTTATGCTCTTTTGGGTCTCCATAGTAGTCCCACCCCTATCCACAGGGGATCCATTCCAAGGCCCCCAGTGGATGTCTGAAAGTGTAGACAGTCCCAAACCCTAGACATACTGTTTTTTCTATCCATACTTTGACAAAGTTTTATTTATAAATGAAAAAGTTTTATTTATAAATTAATCACAGTAAGAGATTAATGACAGTAATAAAATAGAATAATTATAACAAAAACTGTATTATGATTTATGTGAATGTGCTGTCTTTCAAATTATCTTGTTGTATGGTACCCACCCTTGTTGTTGATTACTGACCATGGATAACTGAAACTGTGGAAAGTGAAGCCATAGAGGGGGAGAATGCTATAATTTCCTAGTTCCTGTTGTGAAGCATCCGTTATGTGCTAAGGAAGCTCTGATGTGGCCAGCGTGCAGCACAGTGGACTAAACATCACACTGGGAATCAATACCTAGTGATTGTCACCAACCGGGCCATGAGTTTTTTTTATCTAAGGCTTGTTAGTTACACGTTAGTCCTTCGGTGGGACATATGTTAGTTTATATTGACAAATACTTTTCTTTTTTTTTGAGAGAGGTTTTTGCTATAGGGCGTGTGCACTCGCCAGACAGACAGAGAGAGACATAGAGACAGAAAGCGAGAAATCACCCCCCAGGGGGGATGGTCACACCGCAATCCCTTCTCCTCCATTCTCCTCTCGGGATCTTGGGCACGCACGCACACGCGCCCGGTTTGAGTTTTAAGCCACTGGGTCCGGGATGAGAACCACAGTTGACTATGTGGGAGTCCAGCGACATAGCCATTACACTAACTGCTGGTTCCCAATACTTTTCAAAAATCCCTAGACTTTTACAAATTCTGTTCTTCCAGTGACATTTACATTGGCCACATCTACTCCAGACAATGCTATCATTTTCCTCCTGTCTCTGCTTCTGTTTTCTCACTTTTCAGATCATTGGATTGAGAACTCTACGTAAGAGATATGTTTCACATCTTTCCACCAACATGCATTTCCATAAAAAACAAACAGAAAAAAAAAAACAGAGGAAGCACACAATGTTAAATGTTTATCCCACCTGCATTTGCTCTTGTACATTCAACCAGTGGTCATGTACTACTCTGGAACTGTGTTTTTGTTCTAACTGGAACTTTGGGGGTTTGAAAGGGTGATGTGTCTTCAAAAGACACATCATCTATCCTCTTGAGCTATTGAATTATACTTCATGGAAACACTGACAAAAGAAATATGTTCCCCAATATAGCTGCTAGTTACCAAGAATGAATAACAACTGATTTGGAATTATTTTTATAGTTCTTTTTTTAAAGAATTATTTTATTTATTATCATTATTTTATGTGTGTGTATGTATGTGTGTATATATATATATATATACACATGTATATGTATGTGTGTGTATATATATGTACATATATATATATATATATATATATATATTTTTTTTTTTTAATTTGACCAGAGAGGGAGAGAGACAGCAGGGAAGGGAGAAGGAGACAGTAAGCTACCAGGTCAGGACTCGAACCGTGGTCGTCCACATGGGAATCCAGCACCTCAACCACCACACCACCTGCCAGCCCTATACTTTTACAATGATTTTTTTATCAAAAAATGACTTCTAATCTTTAAGCTTTCATGCATAGTTCTTCAAATCTGAAGACACACCAGTTATGAGATGCACTTATTTTTGAACCATTAAGAAAGACCATTGTCTTTGGTCTTGGCCAAGTAGACCAAAGTTCCTTAACGATAGCCCAGACCAGACCATACCACCCTCTGTTGTTTTGACATTATTTGAAAGCAGTCTCCTGCTTTTTATTGCTTTGCTTGGTATGTAATAGATCACTTTTTTTTTTTTTTTACTTTTTTTTTTCGTTTGGAGAGGTTTTTGCTGTAGGGTGCGTGCACTCATCAGAAAGACAGAGAGACAGAGAGACAGAGACAGAAAGTGAGAAATCACCCCCCAGGGGGGATAGTCATGCCACAATCCTTTCTACTCCATTCTCCTCTCAGGATTTTGGACATGCATGCACAGGTGCCTGGCGTGAGTTTAAGCCACCGGGTCTGGAACTCAAACCACAGTCTGTTACATGGGAGTCCAGCAACATAGCCATTACGCCAATTGCTGGTCCCAGTAAATCACTTTTAAAAAAAAAAATTATTTATCATTATTATTATTATTATTTTTAAATTTGCTGTAAGTCAGATGCACTCAACTGCACTCAACAGGGAGGGAGGGAGGGAGGGAGAGAGAGCGAGAGCGAGAGCGAGAGCGAGAGAGAGAGAAGTGAGAAAGCAATTTACCAGGTCTGGGACTCAAATTGCAGTCAGCCATGTGGGAGTCCAGCACCTTAACCACCACACCACCTGCTGGCCCAATAGACAACTTTTTTATACATCTCAGTAACCAAATGCAAGATAGTGTCCTATATTTTCAGGGATCTCCTTTACTTAGGCTCCATGAAGCACTCATTACTTAGAAATTTGGGTTATTGCTCAGTGATACATGTTTGCCTCTTTAACATCAAATTTATGCCTTCTTGCTCAGTATTCAATTTTTTGGCGTATGTGATAACTTCTCTTTCTTTTCAAAAATTTCCTAGAGGGCACATGTGCTCACTGGAGAAGAGAGAGAGAAAGTGAGAAAGGACCCCTGATAGAGGATGGCCATGCCACAATCTTCTCTTTCATTCCTCCTTTCAGAATTTGACCACGCATTCACACATGCCTTTCATGTTTTCCAAGCCACCAGGTCAGCGAGTCGAGCCTCATAGTCAGCCATGTGGGATCTAGCCAGCTTAAGCACCACACCATTGGCTGGCCCAATAACTTCTCATTTTCATACCAAATGACTGAAAATTTATGAAAATATTTCAGATGTCATCAAATTCAATACATACAATAATGACAATGCGTGTAATTGTGTATGGTGTTGAAGTGACAGTGGTGCTATAGATATGACTGCTCGTGCATGTTCAAGCAACAACAGCTACTTCACAACTTTCACCTGCCCAACAATGATTGTAAGGTGCCATTATTATTATTGACTGGAAGACATATGCCAATTTCAGAGACATTTTAGTACATTTTTTAATTTATGAAATATAGGAATAATCCACAAACAATTCTGTAAAGTGACCAGTGCCTTGAATAGAACAGCAGTATCGTGATGACTTCTGCCGGTTAGAATCGTACACAAATTTCATACTTCTAGACCTGGAGAAATATTTTTAAAAGGTCTTGAAGAAATAAGTGTACAAAGATTAATAGCCAGATTACTGGGTTTACATCCTCTTACTATTGGTGTGACCTTGGGCAAGTTAATGTGCCTCTGTTTACTCCTGTGTAAAATGCACTGTTTATTTTTGAGAGATGTTAATACATGTACTTAGAACAGTGCCTAAAACATCGTATGTGCTCAATAAGTGTTACTATAATTATTATTTAGACCTGCTTTGATAATCCTGTTTCTCCTGCAGAATATGTTGGACAGAAGAATTATCAAAAAAAAGAAAATGTCTTAAGCTGTTGGTGGAAATGCAAATTAGTACAACCTTTGTGGACAACAATATGAAGGTTCCTCAAAAACCTACAAATAGAACTACCATAATCCCAATCCTTGTTATTTACCCAAAGGATAGGAAAACATTCAGTCAGAAAAACACTTGCACACCCATATTTATTGCAGCATTATTCACAATTGCTAAAATAAGGAACCAACCTAAGTATCCAAAAACTGATGACTGGATTGAAAAACTGTAGTGCATATACTCTATGGAATACTACTGAGCCATAAGAAAACAATGAGAACATATCATTTGATTTTAAGTGGATGAATATAGAACACTTATGTTGAACAAAATGAGCCAGACTTTGAAAGATACACACTACATATCCCTACTCAGTGTGTACCAAATATCTGCCCTCTATGGCAGAAATTAAAACATGTGAAGATATGATAGTAGAGAGGATAAGTATAGATACTAGAGACTATAAGGGAGAGGAGTGGGTGGTAGAGACTGGGTGGTGGATGGTGAGTGTGAGGTGCAAAGGGAAGAAATATTTAACAGACAAAAAATGTCAAGGTCTCTTAAAAAATTTATCTATTTCTCTCTCTCTCTATGTGTGTGTGTGTGTGTGTGTGTGTGTGTGTGTGTGTGTGTGTGTACATCATGTTGGGGACTTTATGTAAAATGTGAAAATAATCTGAAACTGAAAAACATAATAAAGTTAAAAGGGAAGAAAGGAAGGTTGTCCACTCATCTCCTTTTGTGAGTGGGAGGCACCAAGTCATGGAGTCAGACCTTTAAGTGGCCCTGAGCATAGACATTGCTGTTAGTAATCAAAATGCATTCAGTCTCAACTGAAATCTACTCTAGCAAAAAGAATGGATTCTAAACTCCAAGATCACGTGTGACTCTGTGGCAGGGAATGTTCTTTTATGCCTAGCTTGTACCTTTTCGATTACTTCTGAATCTGTTTCTTTCTACTTGGGTCATTAGAAAAATGTCAAGCTGCTGGTTACCATGTCAGCTGCTATGTTCCTACAAGGCCTATCGTGGTAGTTTTATTATTTCAAGCCTGACATATGTTCCTTTTTGACATTCTAACTGAAAAATAAAAGAAGTTATTTTAGATCAAGAGTAGGTAAGTCTTCAGATTCCTTTGTCTTCTTTCTTAGAGATATTGAAGAGTTCAGATGCTTTGCCGGTGTATGACACCTTAATGTTTTGTGCAAGCAGGAATACTGACCGCATTCACCTCTTTTCCAAGGTAAGCAAATTCTTGCAGATTCTGTGACTTGAAACATAAAAAAGACTTCCTTTTTTTCATTCTCAATGAAGGTATTTAATTTTATTGACAGTTGAGGTAGGCATCTGGTTCTTTTCCTTTCTTAAACTGATTCTCAGATTCTTATGTTAAATCTAAAGACAATGAAATACAAAACAGAATAGAGCATAGACTTCAGGGGCAGGCTGTTTGGGCACTTCACTCACTTCATTGCTCTGTGTGCTTTGGGCTTCTCTGCTGTAAAATGTGCAGAAAGGATTTATTCTAGGATAAAACGAGCTGAATCCTGTAAAGCACTTAGCACAGAGCCTAGCCATAACAAACTCTCAGTAAGTGTTAGCACCAGCATTGATCTTTTTTATTGATTGTTTGATTGATTGATTGCTGGGGCATGTGTATTCACCAGGAAGGGGGTGGGGAGAGTACACCCCAATAAGGCATGATCATGTCACAATTCTTTTTACATCCATTTCCCCATACCATCAGGATTTTGGGGACATGTGCACACGTGCCAGTATTTTTTTCAACCTGCTGGGGCCAGGATTCGAACCACAGTTGGCCATGTGGGATCCTGCTCCTTATGCACTGTGCTTAACCACTGCGCCGTGGGCCAGCATTGCAGCAATCGTGTGTAGCAGCAGCAGCAGCACTACACAGAAGCCTACTTGTACCGATCCATGTTGGATAAATTCTAGGAATCTTTCATAATATGATTGCCTAGATTCCTGCCATAGCCTGGGTTAGTCACACTCAAACTTTTCAGTCTCAGGATCCCAAAGAGTTTTAGCTTATATGAGTTATATCTAGTGATATTTACAGTATTCGGAATTAAAATGAAGACACTTGAAGAATTCACTTACCAATTCACTTAAAAGTAACAGTAACAAACCCATTGCATAATTATAAAATAATATATTTTTATGAAAATATTGTTTTCCAAAACAAAAATTATATGGTGAGAAAAGTGCTTACATTTTTAAGCAATTTTCTCTGAAGTCTTAATAGATGATGTATCTGCCTCTGCATTCAGGTTGTGGGAAACGTCATGTAGCCACTAGGCATCACGGCAGAATGATGATAAAAACGGTCTTACTGGTATTGCAGAAACACTCCTCACTTTGTGGGCCCCCGAAAGGGTTTTGAGGGCCATGAGAACCTCTGGTCTTAGTAAACTAGTGTATCTGAGGAAAGATTTGTAGAGATTTTAAACACTTTTTTTCAGTCATCTACCATTTCAAATTTCTATTTTTACTAAGAATAGTAAAATAGTATCTGTAACTTTCAAAACTCATGGTCCATTCTATTGAAAGGCTACCTCTTAAAAGATTAACTATGGGCCAGAAGGTGGCCTGGTGATTGGGGCAGTGGATTCCCACATGGCTGACCACAGTTCAAGTCCCAGACCTGGCAGCCTGAAAATCACAACAGATAGATAGATAGATAGATAGATAGATAGATAGATAGATAGATAGATAGACAGACAGATAGATAGATGAAACATTTATCTATATTTATCAAATGTTTCATCTATCTATCTATCTATCTATCTATCTAGCATGGGTGTAAGAGAGAGAGAGAGGGAAAGTGAGAAAGCAAGCTACCAAGTCTAGGATTCAAACTGTGGTCTGCCATGTGGGAGTCCAATGCCCCAACCACCACACCACCCACTGGTCCTAATAAATAAATATTAAAATAATAATGATAATGATAATGACCTAGGTTGGTGTTAACCAAACTTTCAATTGCAGGTTTTCATCTGAACTAATACAGACTTGGATAGATGGCGTGCCATGTAACAATGTTTTGTTAGAGGAGATGGCCAGGATCATGAGTGCCCAAGCGGTCTCCAGCAGGAGACCACAGAGGACAGTGAGACACGAGAAACAGCCAGGCAGCAGTCAGCACTCTTTCTGAAGGCTTGGACCCCGCTCCAGCCTGTGAAGCCTCTGGTGTGGAAAGCCACATTGCAGGGAGCACCAGTGAATTCTGCTCGGCCCACCTCATCTCCAGGCAGGTCTGAGTGCCAGAGCACCCTCATCCCTCATGGGAAGCGAGCTCCAGACCCTGCTTGTCAGCACATCATCACATGAGAGGAACAGAGAAGTGGTCGCCAGAGGGGCCTAAAGCCAGGCACCAGGCAGAGCACACCAAGAACTCAGATGCCCTTAAACTCTTCAAACCTTTTACTCTGAGTAATGAAAACTCTGCTGCCTAGATCGTCAGCTCAGTGTCGTACCCCCTTGGGGCAGTGTGTCTGCTGCCAACCCTGCCACGTTAACCTTGCTGACCCATATCCCGGCTCTGCCACCTTGCCCATGAGCACCTCACCTTTGGAGCATCTCTGTTATAGTCTCTAATGCATTTTGCAGTGGCTCTAAATACTTACACGTCTCTTTACCATTTAACTAATTTTATAAACCGAGGCACTAAGCAGATGAAATGTTGATATGTCTTTTCACAGCTAATGTAGAATGGAGATAAGGGCTTTTCTTTTTACCTCAGATGAGCTGAAGTAAAATTTAGAATGACAAATTTAGATAAAAACCCAGATCACAGCCTAAAATAACACCTTTTAAAGGAAGAGCAGTAATAGGTATTGAGCCTCTTGTGCTGTATTAGAGATGTTCATTTCAGCCAGAAGCCCGTCTAATTCAGGGTGTGCAATGACGAGTTATAGTCACTCATCTAGACTCTGAATCACTGTGTAAGTACATTCCGTGTTTTTTCTGAAGTGATCGTGGGAGCTATAACATTTCTTTTTGACTGAGAGATAAGTTCAAGTATTGTTGATATGTAATAGATTTTCATATGAGAGGCTTTTCTTTCCCTTTATGAAAGAACCTCTACCATGTTTAACTGACTACACCTTTGTGTGTTGTTATTTCTTCTCCTTCCTTTTTTTTTTTTTTTGCTAGAGAGCACATACACCACTCACCACCAGAGAGAGAGAGGGAGAAAGCGCCCCCAATGGGGTATGGTCATGCCACAGTCCCTTCTCCATTCTCCAACCCTGTCAGGATTTTAGGTATGCACACACATGTGCCTGGCATTTAAAGCCACCGGGGCCAGGATTTGAGCCATGGAGTTGGCCACGTGGGATCTGGCTCCCTTAATCACTACGTACAAGGCTGGTCCATGTGATTACTTTCTGCTGACTATGGGGACCTCAGCACGGCCCCACTTACTCTCGGGGTGCCACTGGCAACCAATCTTCACGGGCCAATGTTGCATTGAGAATTTTTTAGTGATTTCTCTAGGATAGCTCTTTCTACCTTCTTTCACTTTCTTGTTTCTGTAACAGTGTACAGGTATACCTGTTATTTTCATTTTTTTTTACACTAATATTTTCTCTTTTTTTAAAGAATTATTTTAACTTTATTGATTTATTCATTTGTTTAAATTTGACCAGAGAGGGACAGAGAGTGAGAGAAAGTGAGAAAGTATGCCACCTGCTGGCCCCAAAACTAATATTTCCAGTGATTATAAAAAGAGGTTAGCCCCAACTTCAGTGGCACATACTGCTGAGAGACTGTATACCATACGCGGCGGGCTGCCTTGGTTCAGTTTCCAATCCAACCTATGGGCTAGGTGGAATGGTGTACACCTGTAATCTCCATGACTTGAGACTCTAGGGCAGGAAGATGGTGAGCTCAAGGCTGACCTGGGCAACAGAGTGAGACCTGTCTAAAACAATTTTTTTAAATGAGCTAGGTGTGGGGCCTGCACTCATACTCCTGGCTAGCAAGCTGAGGCCAGAGGATCATGACATAGAGACTTTGTGTGAAAACTGAAATGTCATTTGTGAATTTGGGAGTGGCTGCACTGTTAACTTTGAGGAAATAATGTTCTTCTGTATTGATATGCACTTTGCAAGTCGCATGCTTTGGGTCCTTATTTTCCCCTGGGCAGCAAAGGTAAGAATGACAGGGCAGTAAACGTGTCACCCAGTGCTGCAGGTGGAGGCACAGGCTAGGCAAGGGCAGGGGAAGCACACAGGACAGGGGCAGCCTGCCTCCTTCCTCCTCTCAGGCAGCCCTTCCAGGGAGCTGTGTGGGGCGGGCCCTTGCCTGCAATACGCCAATGTGGTTTATCTTTTAGGAAACTGGGACTGTTAGGCCAAAATATAATGCTTTCCTTTTCAAATAGTACTAGTGCCTATAGACAAAAATGGATTAATAGCATCTTCCTAATCTGTAATCAGGATGGAAAACAGATGAACTGTAATTTCATTCCTCTGGATATAAAATTAGACCTGTGGGAAGACTTACCAGCAAGCTTTCAGCTGAAACAAAATCGCTCACTGGTAAGAATAGTTTTAAATAAAATAGTTTTGTTTTAGTAACTTTAATGATTATGTTGCATTTAATCAAAGCACGTTGTAGCCTGTTGCAGGGTCAAATCGCTGGCTATATTTTCATCAAGTCGGGTAGGGTCTAGTAATTGTCCTGGGGCTAAGAATAAATGTGAAATGTTTCCCGAGCAAATGATCACACCTAGGGTTGCTGTTTCTGTGACAGAATAAGCCTCACATCATTTACTTTCTCATTCACAGGATTAGCAACTGGGGTATTTGTATCTGAGAAACTCACATCTTATTTTTAAGGCTAAGTTCTAACAATGACATTCTGAGAGAGGGATGCTGCCATATTGGGGGAAGTACCAGCTTGCAGCTCCAGGCCAAGAACCTTCCCAGGGCCTTAATTCTGATCTGTGGCCGATTTACCTCCACAGCTAAGAAGGATCCTTTACAGTCACCAACCCAACATGCAGTATACCATTTTTACAAGAAAATTAGGATTCTTTTTTAACCCTTCGAGTGAAAATGAAGCAGTGCCTGTGGGTCAGCTGTACCTGTCTTAAAGGGAAAGGTGGCAGTGAGCTATTTTCTTTGGTATCATCTAATCCAGACTCTGAGAGTCCCAGAAAATAGCCACCTACATGTAATTGACTAATAAGTGAGAGCAATGGTGACCGCCAAGAAAAATGTCCCAGGTTTATTGGAGGCTTTTCCCTGTGATAACTTAGACCTCAGATACAGAGCGATTCCCAGATGTCACTCTGTGGCTGTAAGACTTGCCAAGTGCAGCGTGCCCTGGCCACTGCTGCAATGTGTGTGTTTAGACTTCTTTTGCTCTCGGTGAGCACATGATCACCGCTGGACCCTGTGTGTGACAGGCATACACTGGGTGTTATGCCTTTGAAGTCTTTGGATTGGAAGGAACCTCTTGAGAACATATAGACGATTTACAATAAAGATATGAAGAACTTTATCAAAATTAAGAAAGCCTTAACTCAAAAGCTGGTTTTAGAGGAATAACAAAACATTAGTTTTCTGATGTTGCAAATAGCCTCTGTTCAAAGGAAGATGCCTGGTGAGCTGTTAATTCTTTTTATTATCTCATTTTCTGGCAGATTTTAAGGTTCGTTCGGGAATGGAGCAGTCTAACTGCCATGAAGCAAAGGGTAATCAGGAAAAGCGGGCATCTGTTCTGTAGCCCAATTATTGCTTTGGAAGAGATTGCAAAGCAACAAACTAAACAAAATAGTACCAAAAGGTAAGAAATGCCTTTCTTCTTTCGTATTATTTATATTATATTTCATGGGGGACGGGGTCTGAGGCGTCAAAATTTCTGATGAGTTAGGAGAAACTTATGTATGAGGTCACAGCCACATTCTTGGATAAGTAGTGAACTTGATCAAATTTGCTGAAACAGATCAGATTGCCGGATCTTCCTCACAGGAGCCTGAGACCCGCTCGTCAGCAGAGGCCAGGTCATTGGGAACCTATGACCTCTAAACCAGGGACACTTATCAACAACAGGGAGACATTTCACTGTGAGAACCTCAGGTGGTCTCTGGAAGCAAGCTGCCCTGCTCTTCTGTGGCCTGAGACTTGAGTGCTGTGCCAGGGGAGCTGGTTCTGTTGGAATATACCCCCTACTCGAGTAGTAAACAAAAACTTACTGTGTCCATGGTTGGAAATGACACAAAAGGAGTGGCCAGAATTCTGTGACAGTTTTGCTTTTCTCATTATAGGTCCCTTTCTAGCCACTTCCTTTCCTAAGGAAGGCTGTTTGGCACCTTACTCATCCCTGTCTCACTCAGATACCATACTCCTTGTGTGAGCTCGAATCCCCATTTTTCATAGCCTCTTCTCTTGGCATGAAGCAAGGCTTACCAGGAGACGCAGTCAGCAGTTCTGTACCCTCACTCTTGCTTTGGAAGAGATGGCAGAGTGATAGACCAAACAACAGCTCTGGTGGAGAAAGCCTTCTAGCTCTTGCTGTCCCCACATCCTGTAACCTCTCTTCATCTTCACATTCCCCCACTGTATGGCTTCGGTTCTCTAGCTTTTTTCATGCACACAGATGGGAAAATAATCCATCAGTATTATGGGAAGAGTGAGGAAAATGGTTAGTAAAATAAATGATGATAGTCCTATACAGTGAAAAATCTCTTTAGCTGTTTTAAAGGATGGTGTGTGGTATGCTCACATGTGAGAACAAGGAATGAAACTTGTGATAAATTGTTACCCATAAAAGTATTAGAAAAGGGATGGAGACACAGATATATAGCTGTTTTAACTGACATAGAAATCATATGGAAGGATGCTCTAGAAACTCTTGCTAGAGTCTTCTCTAGGACAGGTTTTGCCTGGGACTGATTTGTGCCCCATGGTTGCAGTGTCTGGAGACATTTTAAATGATCATAGCCAGGAGTTGTAACTGGGGAGTATCTAGTGAATAGAGGTCCTGATGCTGCAGAAAACTACAGTAGGGCTGGCCCCATGGCCTAGTGGTTAAAGGAACAAATCCCACATGGCCAACAGTGTGGTTGGAACCCTGGAAGCTTGAAAACCACATTGATTGCATGTGCATGCATGCCCCAAATCCTGACAGGATGGAGAAATGGAGGAAAAGGTATTATAGTGTGACCATGCCCCCTTGGAGGTGTTCTCTGTCTCCCCTTTCTCTGTCTCTTCTTCTGTCTCTGGTGTGCACATATGCCCTCTGGCAAAAAATTCTTATAGTAAACAGGACTACACCCCCAGACAAAGAGTTAATCTGTCTCAAAATGTCTATAGTGCCACTGTTGAGAAATCTTATTCTCAGACACCTTGTGCCAGGTTTATAAACTCCTATGACTAAATCTAAAGCAGGAACCATAAATGAGTGATGAAATCGGGTATACAGCTAGAAAAAGATGGGATATGAAGTAGGACTATGGCAAGTGGGAAAGTACATAACCCATCAGAAGTCACTCAAATTCAGATTTAAAAATAAAATACTGTGCGTGTCAAATAAAGCCGTTTGACTAATTGGATTTATCCAGGAGTTGCCGGTTTTATACTGTTGCCTGAACTCTTTTGTAATGGTTGAATTTTCAACATGAGCATGTGTAACTCTATCTTTAAAGAAGTGCATGTAAAATATAAGTGGTGTGTAGAAATAGATATACACGTACACACGCACTCTTATACTTAAGGAGACAGACACAAACATACACATATCAAAAAGCACAATGCCTGTTTTGTTTTTCTCAATACCTCTTCCAGTCTTCATTTTTTATTTTCATAGCCACAGTTTTAGTTGAAGTATTGATCTTCCCTTTCTCACGTGATCATAATTTCCTTCGTAGTTAAGTTTACAGCACACTCCAGCCACTTCTAGACATGCCCAGTCGTTTCTTTATCGGACATGGGTGAGCACTTCAAGTACCAGCTGAGAAAAATGACTAATCAGGTGTAAAAGCAAGTCCGTTCGTAAAATCAGTGCAAACCGAAGTCAGACACAAATGTTATTTATAAAATTATAGAGAAGCTATATTAAGAATATAACTTGTGTTAGCAAGCAGCAGATTAAATAATCAGATGTGTATTCTAGAGCTCACTCTGGCAGCAGAGCAAGATTGGAAGTAAGGAGACCAGTCACTTTCATTTTCTACTGCTGCCATGACAAATTACCGTAACTTTAGCAGCTTAAAACAACACGCATTTATGTTCTCCTAGTTCTATTAGTCAGAAGTCTAAACTGACTCTTACTGATGTCTCTGATTTCTCTGCTCTGGATTTCACATGGCTGACATAAAGATTCTGGCCAGTGGAGGTCAAAAATGCTTTGATATATGTAAAGTAAACGTTCGTAGAAAAATGTAAAAATTAAGTAATTTTAAAGAAAGAAAAAAAACTCACTTCCAAGCTCATTGTTTGCAGAACTCCATTCCTTTCGATTGTAGGACTGAGGTCCTGTTCCTTGCTGGCTGCCAGGTGAGGGCTAGCATCAGCTCCTAGGGCCCTCTCTCTAGTCCTAGCACCTGGGCCCCTAATTCAGGGTGTGTCTAGTCCTCTGCTTGGAAGCCCTCCGTTTACCTCTTCTGCTTGTAAGAGCCTGTATGATTATCTAGCACCCACTCAGTAACTCCCTATCACAAGGTCAGCTGATTATAACCTAATTGCTTCTACATAGTACCTTTATAGCATTACTTAATTAGTGATTGATTAAATAGCCAGGGGACAGGAATCCTAGGGGGTATCTTAAAAATTCTGCCTACCACACAAGTTAAAAGACTATTGTAGTAAGCTCCTGAAAAAAAAAAAAAAAAGATGAGGCTTTATAGTAAGGCATTACCAGTGGATTGAAGGAGAGAATGAAGAAAGCTGTTAAAGAGGAGTATCTAAAGAGACCTTGAGGTAGAGAAAGGCTTCAAGGAAACCAACTTAGCAGTCACAAAATGAAACTTGTGTGTGTACCTGTAGAAGGGGGATACCGGCACAGGGCAGTCTGGTTCTTGGCGGAACTTCAGTAAGTCTCAGTATTTTGGAGTAACCATGTACCTCTGAAAGCGAGTGTGAAAGATGGTGCCGAATGACAGCATTGAGTGGAGGTCTGTGAGGAGCAGTTGGACAGTGGATCTGTTTCCCTCCCACTGTCCTCTCAGTTTACTTTATAGAAAAACAGAGAGCCTCTAGATTCGGAAACACCAGGCTCAGGAGGGATAGGGGAAAGGTGTTACAGTAAAAACTGAAGCTCTTCAGACCTTTTTCTTCACTCAGCTTCCAAAATGCCAGCAGCTACATTTTTGCCTCCTAGGTAGGAGGTTGGAGAATTTCTCTCTTAAAATAGTGAATAGCTCCCCAAAAAAGACATACAGATACTGACTCTAGCAATTCCTACAAAAGCCTTGGCTAGGTCTCCAGCCATGTGCCCCAGTGCAGGCCCCATCCAAGCTGTCGCTTCCAGTCAGCTTTCAAGTAGCTCATTTTTAGATGAGGATGGAAGCCACGACCACAGCCATTGTTTGGGTTCCGGAGTGAGTTCCATTTCTCAGAAGCAAGCCTGATTCAGTGGAGCCTTGCGTTTGGGATGCCAGCTGTTTATGCGCTAGCCACAGCTGCCCTCCAAAGCAGGTCAGCAGCCCAGAGCCCAGGATCGCACTCACTGTTGGGGGCACTTTCCAACACACACTCTCCTCTTCCAAAAATTGCCATCTTCATTTTCATCTCTATCCAGGAATTAGATTAGTGGACAACATTCTCCCTTTCCCTGTTTGTCCCCATTAGGATTTATCATCATCCTTTTGAGAGTTGGTATACTTACATGAACTTCCTAGCAAACCCCAGTGGAAAACTAAATGTTGGCAGCCTGCAACTAGGTTTGAAAAGTTGTCAACTCCCTTCTTCATGATTGATTGATCTGTTTCTTGTGGTTTCCCAAAATTCATGCTTACATATCTTGTAGGAAAGCAAGGGGGTATTTTTAGTTTCTAAATCTCTAACTAGATTTCTCAGCATCTTTTAAAGTAGCTGAATTAAGTTTCTAAGCTTTTAAACATTGAATAATACCTGAGGCAAGGCTTAATATTCCATTGCCCTCAAAGCTAGGAAGCTTTTTAGTTCATTTAGAATCCACAGTTAATACTTTAGCCAAGAGCTTCTGTCAAGGGAATGAAATGGTTGATGAAATTCAGGGTGAGGGCAAAGAGAAAGTTTGGGAACTAAAAGGGCAAGTTAAAGAATTCGAAAAGAATTCATTGTTTTTTTGCTTTCAGAAAGACACACAAGTGGAAATGCAAATATATGAAAATACCTTCACCCTTACTCTTACTAGGAGAAATGAAAATGTAAAGCTACAGTGAGATACCTGTCGCTATTAGCAGAGCCTATTTGAAATGATGTCACTGGGCTAGTGACAGGAAGCAGATACTCTATCCACTGGTGGACTCACACTAGTGCAGTCTAAGTGGAGGGCAGTTTGTCAGCTTTACCCATGTTTTGCACTTTTGACTCTAGATTTCTGGGATTTATCCTAGCATCTATTAATATATAATATGTAGAAAATATCATATATAGTGATATCTATTGTAGCTGTGTTTGTGATAGCAAAGACTACAAACAACCTAAATGCCCATTAATCAGAGACTGGTTAGATACATTATATGGCTTATCCAAATAATAGAATGACATGGAGCCATTAAACAGAGCAACTCTATGGAAAGGTCTCTCTGCAATGTATCTTTAAGTAAAAAGAGCAAAGTGAAGACTAGTGTGTACCATGCTATCGTTCATTTATTGTATGATATAACATGATTGTATTATTTAGTTAGTTTTAGTTTCAGTTTTTGCTGTATGGTGCTTATGCTCCCTGGAGACAGAGAGAGAGGGAAAGTGAGAAATTACTCCCCAGGTGGGTGGCCATATCACTTTCCCTTCTTTCTAGCCTTCGCTCAGGATTATGGGTATACATGCACATATGCCCAGCGTGACTCTCAAGCTGCCAGGTCTGGGTGTAAACCATACAGTCAGCCATTGGGATCCAGCGCCTTCACCTCCACCCCACCTGCTAACCCTGCTATCATTCGTTTCTAAAAATAAAAGGCATAGTGGAAAATAACTGCCAGTGAGGACAGGCTTCTTTTTCAGGTCATGAAAATGTTTTGGAATTAGATAATGGTGATGTTCACACAGTGTTGAGTATATTCCAAAATGCACTAAATTATAGACTTAAAGTTGGTAAATGTTATGTTAAATGAATTGTATGTAAATGAAAGTGCAAAAACAAAACGTATATACCTACAAACAGAAGAAAATAAGCAATTTTTAAAAGAATATATAGAAAACTAGCAGTAAAGGTAACTTTGGAGGAGGGGCTGAAAAGGAAGAAAATGGGAGGGAAGGAGCCAGCAGGTGGCATGGTGATTAAAGTGCTGGATTCCCACCTGGCCAACTGTAGTTCTAATCCTGGACCTGGTGACTTGCTTTCTCACTTTCTCGCTCTCTTACTCTCTTTCTCTCTATCTGGTGAGCATATATTTCCTGTTGCAAATGATAAAAGAATAATAATGATAAATAAAATTAAATAATTAATTCTTTATTAAAATTTTTAAATAGTACAAGAAAACGGGAGGGAAACTTACTCCATGTGCATGTATCACCTGATTTAAAAAATGACAAAGTTTATAAAAGGAAGGAAACCTGTTTATTACTAAATCTACCTTAATAACATAAAAGCAGATTTCTAAAATTTTACCTACAATATACAGTTTCATTGTGATTTGACTAATTTTTATTGTCAAGCTACCAAGTAAAGAAGTACTCAAAAATATAAAGAAATTCGTGTTTAAAAACCAATTTAAAAAAAAAATCTACAATAGGTGTAAACTACCAGAGAAACTGGGTCATGCTAATTAAAAGGAATTAGTTGGGTAATTGCATTTCACCTACTTAAATTCCCTTGTCACCTTTAATTGGAATAACTTTCCTCTTTGCTTCCAGTCCCTAAACTGTTGTGTGGTATTGATAGTGTTGTGTTATCAGGTTCTGAATCCCACATCAAGAGTGGCTTTTTTTCAGTGGAAGAGTTCATAAATTCTATATGGACTGATAATAATGGGAACAACCTTGAGATTATAGAAGATGTGATCAAACCTGGCTAACTGAAAAGGGAATAGCTTTCCCCAAATACAGCAATAGGCTGTTATGACTGATGAGGTGGCTGGGGAAGCCTAGAAGGGAAGGCCGAGCGGGAAGGCCGTGTAGCTAGAGATTCTTGCACAGCGTGGCAGCCTATCAGTTGTGCATGTGTTTGGTCATTTCCTATTCTCGCATCTACTCTTTTTCTTCCCTAAATGAAAAGGTTCCAAAGGATACTGAATGATTCTTGAATTTCTTAGAAAAACAAATCTTGAGAAAAAACTGACTTGGAACAGAGATGTGTTGCCCCCATAGTGGACACCCCTAGAAAGGGAGTACGTTCCATTTTCTAATATTAGTGTTAACACCGTGAATAGAATCACACCTTGCCTTTTCTCCTGTTGCTTTAGCAGGAGTGATATGAAATAGAAAATCTCTTCTATGACAGAGAGGAGACCCATCTAATATGTCGTTGTTTTAGATATATAACCAAAGAAGATGTTGCCGTAGCCTCGATGGACAAGGTGAAGAATGACGGGGGCCATGTCCGTCTGATCACAAAGGAGTCCAGGCGATGGGACCCTTCCACAAAGTAAGGCACTTTGTTGTTTCGTTCCTTTTTTTTTTTTTTTTTAATTATCGGGGCACACCAGGAAAAACCATTTC